ATTCAAATGTTGTATATGAAAACCAAGCCGATTTGAAATTAATTATAAAAAAGCCAATTTCATAAAAAATATTTGGACTTTAATAAATATCTCAATAACTAAATACCAGAAATATTTTCTTAAATAAGATTTCTGACAGGAAATTTAAACACACATATATATATATACATATATATATATATATATATATATATATATATATATATATATATATATATATATATATATATATATATATATATATATATATATAAAATAATCGCACACACATATATAAATAAATAAAAAATAATAGCTGGCCACTCGTATTCGAGGATTGTAGACCCTCGCTCAGGCAAATTTGTGTTTTGTTCACCACCCACATAGCCCCCCTTTTGGTTTAGACTGCAACTATGCTAGGCAGACCTTTACAGTTTCTGGGAGAAAAACGTGTTAGCTAGCGTGATCGACAATTTGAACAAGGCCAGTACGCTCACGACTGGAATTCGAACCCGGCACCCCGATTTCGGATTGAGGAATCGGAGAGCCGAGTTCGAATTCCAGTCGAATCCATTACATTTACATACGTGCTAATAACCTTGCGAAAGGTATTAATCCTTTTCTTCTCCTCCGCCAGCTATGTAATGTGGCCCGCCTTATGATGTACTTATAAAAGGCAAAGTAATTTTTTCATTAAACGTACCGCAGCCATGAACAGTGCCAAACTGTTCATTACTGATGACTCTCTGCCTTGAGCAGAGAGGAACCCAGACGAGGCTTTGCCGAAGGGCAAAGTTTCGTCCGGGGAGGTAGATAGACCTTGAACCCGTTTATACGGGTTCTAAGGGAATATATTTGGCCGAGCCTACGGGCTCGGAGAGCCCACGATAAACTCGGTCTTGTGCCACATACATCACTCGTGGTGGTGGTGGTGGAGGGGCTGTTAAATATTAACCTACTGCAGCCATTTTCCAAGCAAAAGATCATACACACAGGTATCGGAATCAGAAATAAGGAAAAGTCAATTTTTTTCTTTGGAAAAACGATTCCTTCTATAATTAGAAATCCCTAAAATTTTGTTATAATAGTATCCCTGATGACAGAGTGATTAACCTTTGTTATTCATTTATTAATTTGGTCGCACAAAAATATTTGTAAATGAAGTATATTGATTGTCTTGAGAAAAATATTTATCATTAACGTTTCTTGTTTGTGAAGCAAAATATGTTTACACGTATGATCTTCCTTAGTGAAAATCGCCAATCGTTTAAAAATGCTGACAAAGTTACCTTCAACGAAAAATATACAAATTTAAGAAACATTTTACTTAATCATTGTTTATATATGTTGTTTTGTACTAGAGTGAGTGAGTGAAAGAGTAAGAATGAAAGGAAACGAACTCCATTTTAAGAAACGCTATTTTCAATAAGAAATTAGGCGTGCCATTAAGAAAGCCAACCGGATCACATCTGGCCCCCGGACCGCAGTTTGCCCATGTGTGTTCTAGAGGCAATAACATAAAAGGGAAACATATTTAACATCAGGAAGATATAGTTGAAATTTCTGGGTCATATAGTGAGGAAAGAAGGCTTGGAAAATGTAATACTCACAAGACAGATAGTAGATAAGAGAGACGTATAAACCTGCCTGGCGAGCTCGAGTGAATCGATAATGGAGCAGGATTTGGGAGAGATAGGAAAACGAGAAAAGTTATGAAGAGCTACAAAGGGCAGGAAATCGTGGAGAACCATGATCGTCAATTCTTTGACACTGTTCTCACCTCCACCATTCCTCTTTTATTTCTGTGTCTCTCTTTCTCCAACACCTGGGTTTTTGCCATCCTCCAAGGCTGTACCTCAACTTAAGGTGGGGTGGGGGTCATTACCCAGCGCTTGAGGCGTTCCCAAAAAGGGGAAATGCCGAAGGGTCTTGAACAATTTTCTCACGATACTGCCGGTAAATCCACTTTAAACCTCGGCCTTGTGTCACATTCGGTCTGCTTTACATCTATTAGCATCTCGCTTTCTTGTATAGTCTATATCTTTGCCAAGGAATCATTCGTTTATTACATCTTTTTTTCCCTCATCCTCATCGCTAGTCGCCACGTGCTTGTATCAGTCGGCTCCTAAACGTTAAGGGGTTGCTGGAAAATGACGAAATTCTGGTGCTGTACAGATCCCTGAAATGAATATAAGGTATAGACACAGGGCAATCAAAGTGCCAACCAGGAACTGGCAGGGGCGGCTTAGCTCATGTTGAGGCAATGTGGGTGGTGTGATAGATTGGAGCGGACAGAGTTCGTGGCTCGGCTCAGATTACGAGCTCACCTATCAACAGAACAATATTACTATTCACCCGTGCAAATACCCCGAGAATTTATTTCTACTGCGTGCTATTGCTGATTTTAGAAGTACAAGAACCACTGTACTGTAATATGACCCCCACCCCCACAAAAAAAAAAAAAAAAAAAAAAACTCTGCGCCATATCTCCACAATGATTCTAAACCTGAATGAGTTTTATGGCAAATTAACAGAGAACGGAAAGCGCGACATTGAAATCCGAAGGCGCATTGGGACAGCCAAAGATGCATTCCAAAAGCGAAACAGAATATTAAAAGACAGAAAAAAATTCGTTAGAAACAAAGAAAAAAATTCGTTAGAAACAAAGAAAAAAAAAAGAAAAAGGATTGAACTGTTTTGCGATATCTGTCCTCTTATATGACAATGTATGCTTGACAATTTCACAGATGAAGAAGAGACTTGAAGCAAAAGAAATGTGGTTCTACAGAAGGATGCCGAGGATAACATGGATCGAATATGTGAGCAAGGACGAAGTTATTAGAGAAAATGGAAACAAGAAGGAACCTTATACTTGACGTCAGAAAGAGACAGTTAAGGTCTCTAAGGCACATAATGAAGAAAGGGGATTTAGAAAATTTGGTACTCACAGGACAACTTGAGGGCAAGAGGGACAGAAGAAAACAACACATAATATTGTGAGCTTGAGTAAATTCATGGCGGAATAGTGTTTAGAAAAAATAACAAAAAGACGAAATTTGTTAAATTCTACAAAGGACAGGAAATTGTGGAGAGCCATGATCACCTAATTCTGAGCGAACACAACACATACGACGAATTACCTAAAAGACGAGCATATTTGATGAGCTACATGCATTTTTTTAATGTCATGTCCCTTTAGGACGTACGCGATTATAACTGTCTGTAGATTCCTTTCTTTCTGTGAATTGCCATAACTTTAGCTGCTCGGTCAATGAATTCCGAATGTTTCCTTATAAGGAAACGGCTAATTTCTATCTGAATTTCTGGCATGTGGAGTTATTATTTACACTCGGACTATTGTCCTCATCTTTGTTGTTGTTATCCCAACGTCTAGATTCGTTTTTTGTTTTGTTTTGTTTTACGGCACATCAACCTCAGTGGGTTATTAATTACCGACAAGATTTTTATTGCTGGTAATATTTTTTCCAAAAATGTATTGCTGGCAATACTTTTTTTTCTTTAAAAATGTATTGCTGGTAATAATGTATCGCTGGTAATAATTATTTATAATAATATATTTCTGGTAATATTTTTCTTCAAATGTATTGCAGGTAATATTTTTTTCTTCAAAAATGTATTGCTGGTAATAATTTTCCTCAAAAATTTATTGCTGGTATTAAAACATACTTGACCCCAGTTTGGGGGTTAAGTATTTGCCCAAAGTTGGGACCTTAACAGGTGCTACCAGCCCGGGTCAAGGTGGACCTGGGAACACCAGCAATTAAGAGATAGTTCCATGCTCCTCAAAACCTCCTGATCAGAGGCCTTGCTGTCGGATGTAGTTTATCGTCTTACCCAGGACGCGGATGTCATTCCCAGGATGGCCAACGTCTGGACCGTGCCCTCTAGCCTCCATCAGATCCGGGTAACCTTCAGGGAAATTCGAAATGAATCTTTTATTTAATGTACGGGGGTAGACTGTCGTTCTACTGATCATGTCTAGGGATATCTTATCTAGTTCTTATTTAATACTGCTCGGAGAAATAGTCCACAAGTAAATAATGATAACGGCTCGTCCTAGAATTTCAGATAGAAACACTTTGAGAAAAACGTTTAACATAAGTAGAAACAAGGCGATCAATAACCGAGCAGTACTAAATAAGAATTAGGCAAGATATCCTTGGACATGGTCAACGGAACAACAGTCTGAAACAATAAATAGCTGATGAAGTCCGGTACAATGGTCGAAATATTGTGAAAGCAACAAGAAAGATGAGAACAGTAGTCCGCGTGTAAATAATGACACGGCTTTATTAACATTAATATTGCCACTCCCTTTGCGTTCTCCGCAGTTTTAGGGTCAGTCATTCTCCTAACCTGTTTGACAATCAAGGCTCGCGAACTGAGTCTATCCATAGCTTGGAGCAAGTAAATAGATTGATGCCTTTCCCAAAAGCATTGGGGTAAAGTGAATGAGACAGCTTCATAGAACAGTGTAACAAGCGATAGGTTCTAAACCTCAGCGGACTCAGATATTATCATTGATTACTGGCCTTGTGTCATATTAAGCTTAGCGTAAATACATGCAAATTTTCTTTGTGAAAGTTTAGTACACAGCAGGAGAATATACATATTTAGTAAACTAATGTAAGTATGGCACTAGGCCAAAGGATGGATTTAGAGGATTGTGTTACGCCAATATTCAAGATAGAGACAGCGTATCTGTTTCGAAAACGTTATTTGGGCTAAAAACACAAGCCCTTTGTACAAGGGGGGATACGTAACTCTTATTGGTAGCGAAGCAGCTCAGAGAAAAATATTATATATATATATATATATATATATATATATATATATATATATATATATAAAGAGAGAGAGAGAGAAGAAAGATGAAGAGAGAGAGAGAGAGAGAAGAAAGATGAAGAGAGAGAGGAGAAGAAAGATGAAGAGAGAGAGAGAGTGAGAAGAAAGATGAAGAGAGAGAGAGGAGAAGAAAGATGAAGAGAGAGAGAAAAGAC